TATGTTAATTTCTTTTGTTCACTTTTTCACTTTATTACTTTTTCACAAAAATTAGATTAATCTCTCGAAGTTTCTCACACAACATTTCATCAAATGGATAATACACGTAATACTTCTCTCTAAATTTCTACTCTGAACCATGTATGCTTGAAAGACAAATATTTAAGTGAAACATTGAAATGCTCATTTAAATAGATAGAGAGAGAGAGAGAGAAAGAGAGAGAGAGAGAGAAAGAGAGAGAGAGAGAGAAAGAGAGAGAGAGAGAGAGAGAGAGAGAGAGAGAGAGAGAGCAATAAAAAAAGAGGAAATGAGACGGGGCAACTTACTTATAATACTTCACGCATGCGTACTCCATTTTGGCCAACATAAAATCAGCAGAATTGCGCTACTGTGGCAATATGGTGAATGAAAAAGATTAATTTTATTTGCATAAGTATTTTGTCAAGTATTTTGTAATTAATAATGAAGAGAATTGTGATCCTTAGAGTAAAAATAATTGAAATTGAAATTGGTTCTTATATAAACACCTAATTGTAAGTAAAAAAAGGATACTTTGTTCGGAAAATTATATGAAAAAATTAGTAGTAATGTATTGTATCATGTTACAATATAGCTGCATCCCATAAAATGATATATTATTTTATTGTGAATGATATATCATTTTATCTTTGTTAAATAAGAATAAAATGATTATGAGCAATATTGTGCTTCGCAAAGAATTAGGGTAGTGATAAAAAGTTCAAGTCACATTTCAGGTTTTTAAGTTTCAATTTTATTTTCAATAGAAAAAAATTATATGTATTTATTATACTGTATTTAGGCCTTGTTAGCTTCATTGAATACACTAGATATATTTTAACGTATATCGTGATTTTATTTTGGGTGCGTTCTGAATTGATGCATGTAGCACGTAGGCCGATATTCATAGTCTTATTTCAAGACCGTCTTAAATAATGTCTTAGACTGCTAATGCAGTCTTCTAATTGGTTCGTGACTTCTTAAGACTGTACTTAAGACGATCTTAAATATGAGTATCTGACTATGCCAGCCATAGAGTCTGAGCACAAGAATTGTCGTAACACTTACTTAGAGACTTAAATTGTAGACGTAAGTAATGCTCAAGATGTAGACGTAGTAACGCTTTAATGTATGACTAGAGTCTTATATATGAGGGAAGTGACATTCATCTCTCACTACTACCTTTAACACATGTTCAGCACCGTCATATTTGGCCTGTTCCAATTGACCAGCTGACCAGTTCCCATGAAACTATTTACTCTATTATAAAAACCATGAACCATGATCTCAGGATGAGATTAAGTAAGTATTAATGTTTTTGTGTTTTTTTGTTGAATAATATAGCGATTAAATACGTTACACAAAAAGGTAAACGGCATATTCTATACAATTAATTTTATAATTTTATTGAATGCATTATTGCAATAACATTATGTATTTTTATAACATGATTACTATTGTAATTGATATTTCTATTTTGCCAGAAAGTATTTCGCAAATACAAAAATGACATGTATAAAGAAGATAATATAGATCAGTTTAATTATCATTAATTATTTCATATTTCATTTGTAAATATACATATATGTATTTTTGTTATGAAATATTATATTTTCTACTAAGTTTTTCTGACATAGCTATTTTTCTTAGTACAAAATGGATCAACCTTTAAAAAATTCGAGAGATCAATGCAATCCAAAAATTCTTTATAATACTGCAAATAAATCATCGATCAATTGAGAATCCAAATTGATAAAGCTTCACAAACAATTATCTGTCTAAAACACGAATAAAACACGATGCAAACTTAAATAAATTAAATGTGATGCTTTCTGATATTGAACAAATGAAGAATGAGATGTGTTCTACGAAGCGATTAATAAAATAATATAAATCAAATTATGTTTATTTATAACAATAATTATAATATTATAACTTAAGCTAATAGTATTATAACTTAAGCTAAGTGTGAAACAAATACTGAAATATATCTTCTTATTCTTTATACTAATATTTCGATTGAAATATAGGCTTCTTACTGGACTGTTCTAAAATTTTTTTCCTCACTTTTGTCAAATACTAAATATTATATATTTATTCTCTATTTTAGATATGTGTATGTACCAGTTCAGCTGTAGAAAGGAAACATATGCTCTCCACTGCGGGCACAATATGGCTACTTTAATTAGGTGGGGAGTAATATCAATCAGAAATCGCGATGTCGCTCTTCTCTATTAGGTGTAATAAAAAGAAATCCATTATTTTCATGCAAAAATAATGGATTTCTTTTTACTACCTTTTTACTTAATATATAGGACTCTACGTATGACGTACGATTTATGTTTCTTGGAGATACGACAATAAGTTGTACGTCATACGTAAAAGCTTGTGCGTTACTTACGTTTACAAGTAAGTGTTACGACAATTCTTATGCTCAGATCCTCACTCTACTAAGAGTCGAGACGTAAGCGGTTCTTCGTGATTGATGCCGCCATGTTACAGTTCATTAATGTGTTAGTGAATGTAATAGCGTTTTTCACTAGGCCGCAATGAGTGCGCATTAAAAACTCGTTCAGTGGTAGCAGCACTGTACGAGGTTGTCGAAAGTGCGAGTTTCTTGTACTCCCAGTTAAATACACGTGTCGACCTTAATACGGTTTAATACTGTTTAGTTGCCGTTACATTTGATGACATAAATATTGCGTAATTTATTATGGAAGTATTTATTATATGCAGCGTACATCGTGCCAAATTCTTACACTAAAGTGCAAAAAAGTGACACTAGGATTCTCAATGTAACAGCGTGCATCGTTTTCATGCGCACAAAAACACGTTGCCCGCGGCGAGTGCACACTTAATGCATCAGTTCTCCTAGTGAAAAACGTTAAAAGTGAGAGCAATTTTGGGATGTATCATGTTTATCAAGATGTCGGAGCGGACATTTTTTTCGCTTCGGCCTGAGTTAATTATCTTAAAATAATTATTGCTAGTCTAATTTTGACCATATTGATCCTCTTCTTATTTTTCCTAGAGCAAGTGTCATTTATTAAAGAAACATAAGAATTAGTAACCGTTTTCGATAAGACTGAAACATGACGTCCTTCTGATTTTGTGTCTCGATTCTCACTAGAGTGTCTGTAATAGAGTACATAGAAAGTTGTTCCGATTTAATTAATGCGCGCATTGGAAACGCTTTGATATCGTCACAGAGTAAAAAGAGGGAGGTCAAACTCAAGCGGCCGATTCTGAAAAAAATGTGCTCGCAACACGGTGTCGAAAAAACGTATGGAAGAACAAATTCAAACCTGTCAGAGAAAACTGTCAACTTAGAGGATTTGATAAATATTTTTCCTCCCATTTTCCTGTAATTCTGTAAATTTATGTATTTTCATGCGTAGAATATATTCTGAGAAGGAATGTTGTCGTTCAAATCTTGTTTTTATTCTTTTTAATTTCAAATTTTTTGATAAGTTAAAAAACGATAATTTAATGATAATTTATGACTGTGCATAAATGTATGCTCAGCAAACACAATTATATAATTGTTATATTGATGTAATAAAACAAAATGCAACAGGTAATACAACGTATTGATTACATGTAATGTATATGTTAATTGTAATTTCCCACTTACTACAAATTACAGTTATATATAATAATTATAATAATGTAATGTTATATAGCTGAATAGTTACAGAAAAGTACAGAATGATTACATAACATGCTGAAATGTCATATGACTATGATATAATTAAATGACTATGATATAAATAAAAACATAATCAATGTTATGTAATTGTTATATCATGAGTTATATTATAGTTAATTTCATTTATACTTTATTAGAGCGATCATACATAAAATGACATATAAAATGATGTATAAGCATTGCATAAAACTGCTGGACCAGCATCTTATATAAATCAATGATATCATTATGCTAGATGATCCAACGGCCTTAAGCTATGCTTATGTAACTTATGTCGTTTCATGTATGATAAGACGGGAGCACAGGCTCTTGCATAACGCATAACACATAATGCATAAAAAAATGAATCAATCAAGTCCTTTATTTCCTTCCTTTTTATGAAATAAAGGACTCTAATCGATTAATTTTCTTATGCCTCATGTTTTATGCGTTATGCAAAAATCTGTGTTCCCCGCCTAATCCTTATGAACTTTCTGCAATAAGCTGTTACCATGATGGAAAGATTATATAGACTGTGTTCAGTTTGCATGCTTACACGCTTTAAACGCTTATCAGCATTGCTTACATTGTTCGCTTTGGCGGTATAAGCAGAGATACGTTCCTAACGTCGTCCGTGACGTCATACTTATGCTCACAAATTATTTCATAGAGGTAGGACAGCAAAAACGTGAGCACAAATAAGCGCTTATTGGCCAAAATAAACATGAGCATGTTCAATCCTAACCCTAGTAAATTAAATCTATACACGTTTTTTTATGATTAGAGAAATGCTTAAGAGGTAACGCTACCCTTGAAACTCTAAAATAATACCTAAGTTTGGAAATTTATCGTGGGTTTAAATAAATAACTTTATTTAAAAATTATTTAGAAGACTTTACTGTATATATTGAAAAATAAAAAAATAATTTTTCACAAAATAGCATTAGCCTTCTTGCGAAATCGCTTTTTTTAAAACATGAATATTTGCAGGTTTTTTGTGAGATGATTTATCCTGGAATAAAGCAACAAAAATGTTCATTATCTACATATAATAAGCTTCTGAAGTAGGGATTTTTGAAAACATGAATTTTTTCAAAATGGTAGCTATTTATAGAAAAAACATTTTTCGTCCCAAAAATGTTTTAAAAAATGCTGATTGCAAAAAGAGTTTTCAACATTTCATAAAAAGTATACGTACTTCAGAAGAAAATATATACAAGAAGATTATGGTAAAAATTTATGTCAATCGGATAAAAATTGTAAGAATAACGTTGCACGCAAATTTGAAAAACTATATTTTAAAAAAATGCAGCTGCTCAGTAGAGAGACGTAGAAACGGCGTAGAGAGACGGTTCATTTAGTCAGCTCTAATATATACTATGATACTTCAATTCACAATTCGAGTTTTGTTCTAAAAATACTTGCATCATATTTCTATATCTATAAATAATGATTTAAGTACAAAAAAATAGATTTTTTTCAAGTCTCAAGGGTGACGTTATCCCTTAAGGAATGTGTTGGATTACGTGCACATTTTAACATTTTCTCGTAATATACTTGTATACGACGTCTACAAACATTTCCCGATTTTGTACTAATAAAAAAAGGACTTTGTTTATCAACAAGAAATTGGATGTTTCACAATAAATAAGAAAAAGAATTTACTCATACAAAGATGACATTAACAGATAAAGTTCTAGTTGATTTAGAAAATGCACAGACTGGGAATATATACACGATATCTCTAATTCCCAATGAAGTATCACGACTTGAATGCACCTTCGAGAGAAGGAATCAAAAGGTTATAAGACAAAAAATGTTACATTGAAAAAATTTAAAAAATTGTAATATTTGTTTAAATAGTTTAAATACTAATGGGACATTTGCTTACAATAAATATTTATTTTAAGAAATAATATTTAAATCAAAGTATTACTTTTTATTGAATAAATTTTTATTCAATATAAGCAAATGTCTCATTAATACCATTTTGAACAGATATTTATTAAAATTTCATAAATTTTTATTTTTAATACAAGAAGCGAATTATTTACGGTCAATTATCAATTATATGCCCAAGCTTAACGCTTAATAACCAAAATGAACAACTTAAGGTTTGTTCGCGTCGCATGTTCCAACATGCCCAACATGCTTCAATATGTTCGCGTCACCGGAACCAATATGGCGACTAGATATTCGCGTTGCGTTAGAACATACTCCACGGATCAATTAAGAGTACGTTCCATTTGCCTCACTTCAGAAGGTGGTATGATTGGAGCATACTGTATATACGCATGTGTAATGGTTGAAACGTATTGTATTGAAAAAAGTATTTCAGATTCATTTTGTATAAAAATGCATTTAATAAATTATTAATAAATGTATAATATT